AATAAAAAATTTTTATTAGTAGCATATATCAATTTTAGATGAAAATTTTAAAATACCATACATTTCTATATAGAAATAATCTACATTACCCCCTACCCTTAAATTTATTGCTTGTTAAATTTAAGTTCTTTGTTAAGATTAGAATGAAGTGATTCATAAGTTCTTTTTTTTTTAAGATTTAGAGTTAGAGTAAAGTGAGCAGAAGTCTTTTGTCAGGTATATGTTAATAAAAAAAAAATACTGAAGCAAAGTCAGCAGCTGTAGCAGAAGCATCAACTATCCTTTGTGAAGCAAAAGATAATAGTCAAAATCTCTTTATAGTAATTTTTAGCAACTACAGTAATAAATCAAACTAATAGTGTGAGAAGTGTAATATTGTTAGTTGTAATTTATATCTGCACTATTAGTTCAAACTTATTATAAAAAATTATTGATATATTGGAAATGTTATTATAAATTATAGCTTGCATTAAGCTTAATTCAGGCTATACTCTGACATATATTATTATTATGTGATGTAGTGAATTTTTACCTCTAGTGAGTATTAAAATTATCCTATAATTATTATCAGTTTTAAAAAATTTATAATTATTTACTTTTAAATATTGTTCTAGAATATGTCATATATATAGCATCTTATTGAAATTTAGAATATTTTAAATAAAACATTTTTTAAGACCTATTTTCTGTTTAATATAAAAACATCTAATAGACAACTATAAGTATTATAAATCTTAGTATAAAGAGTTTATAAAAATTAAGTATATAATGCTTTATTTTTATTTTCTATTTAAGTTATATCAATTTGAAAAAATATTAATGTCTTTTTTTATGACTGATATTATTGATGCCAACAGTACTAATTAGAGAAAATTTATAAATATTTGTCTTATATATAATATTTATAATAAGTATTTCAAGATATATATAAAAAAAAGATGCATTAAGTATTTTTTTATTATTTTTAAAGATACAACTATGTAATTATGTTTTTCAAAAATTTAAAAACTTTTGAACAAAATTATTATTAAAAACTTTATTTAATATATATCTAATACAAGTATGTTTATTTATAATATCTTTAGTACAAATAATTTTATAATCAATCACTTTATTAACAGTCACAATAATAATATAAGTAGATGCATTATTATTATATAATTTTATATAAGAATTTTTAAACTTAAATTCATAATATAATATTGATAAAGTGTTATAATTTCATTCAATTTAATTATAAAATAGTTATAATCAAGTATAACTTTTGTAATGACCCATAAGATCTCAATATTTAAAACATTTTTTGTTAAATAATACTTTGTAACAATAATTCTAATTAATACTAAATAATAATCATATTTAGTATTTTTTTTTTTATGTTTTTTATATATATTTCAATTATTACACTATATATTTTTTTTAGTATATTGTAAACAACAAATTTAATTTTCTTTAGTATTTGATAAAGTTATTATTCTTTCTTGTAAAAACAAATTCATTAGCTTTAATTATTATCTGATTTATTTGACAGTTCCTATGAAGGTGTTTCATAAACTTTCTCAGTTCTATTACACTATTGAAAGTTTGCACTGATTTTATAGCATTTCAAAAACTTTTAATAACTCAAAGTTGTCATTTACTTTAAGTATTATAAATTCTTTTATTACTTTATATAGATTTTAAATAAATAATAAAATAAATTTTATGTACTGTTTTACTAATAAGTAAATAAATAAGAGTTTAATATATAATTTTAAGTAAATATTTTATATATTAAATATTTATTAATAAGTAAAAATCTATTGTTTATTATAATAACCAAAAATTTTGTATAATATATTAAAAAAAAACTTGAATAGCATGTAAAAGGTTACTTTATTATTATTAAAATTAAAAATTATTATTTTTTAATATATAATTATTACATAATACATATTAAGTTGTATACATTATATAGATCAAGATCATTGAATTTTTCAAATATATCTATTTATACTATAACCTATTAGTCAAATACCAATAAGCTAATTAATAATAATATATTTTTATTGACCATCTTGATAGTACTTTGATTTAATAAGTCATTGTACAAATTGATATATATATACAAAATTTTTTAAATATATGGTGACATTGTTAACTTACTTAAGTTACAAAACTAATTAATTGGATAAATTAAACTACAATACACTTTTAATAGATTTAATTGAAACAATACTTTTAATTTAGATTTAGGAATTTAATTATTCTTTACAATTAAACTATTTGTATTATTTAATTGCTAAAAATAAACAAGCTTTAAACTAAAATAAGCTATACTACTGGTTTATTTTAATAAATTCGTCTAGTATAAGCAAATACAGAAATATGTATGAATGTACATTGATTATCACGTGACATTTTGTTACGGGTACGTAAACCTGGAGAAATTTGACAGCAATCCTAGGGTAGTTCTAGCAAAAGTAAGGGGAAACATTAGCAAGTCTTAATATGTATATATTGCACATAATATATATATTAAATTTTTATTTTAATTTAATATTTAATTTAATCTTTAATTTAATTTAATACATAAGTTTAATTTTATATCTTATTAAACTAATAAATATATTATTATAACTAATTTAAATTTATCTGAATTTAAATTCTAAATTAACTAATATTTAAATCTAGAGCAATATATAAATATAAGACATATATTAAAAATACAACTAAGATTTAAACCCGAAGCAACGCCCGGGTCTAAGAACTAGATTAATTAAGATTTAAACCTGGGGGCAATGACAAGGCCTGAGACCTAGTATTTAAAATATTAAGCATCAAAAAAGATTTAAAATGAATCAAATTTAGCATTAAGGGGGTATTATTAATATAAAGTTATTGTTAATCAATTGATATGAAGTAGGTATCCTTTGTATTAAATTTGATTCGCTAATATTCGAATCCATCATAATGAAAATGTTCCCAATTATAAAAATATAATATATATGCCGTAAAAACAAATATACTAAATCTAATAAATAATAATAAGTCATTTTCTTAACTAAACCAATCTTTTTTAAGAGTTTTATTATAAACTTTCGTAGTTGGAAGATTGGTAGCGCACCATTGTTCAATCTTTTGATAATTAAAATCAATTTATAGTTAATATTCAGAAATATATATGTTTATTTTAAGACATTTATTATTAAAGATAATTATTACCTTTTCGCAAGCAGCACTAATCTTCATAAAATTAGGGTCTTTGTGATCATTTTTACGTATGATTACTCTAGTATACTCAAGATAGAAATTTGCAAGATCATGAATACTAGTGCACTTTAAGAATATCTATGTTTAAAATAATAATATAATAATAATGTTAATATTCAACTGATCTATTAAAAAAAGGTCTTTTTTTTCAGCAAGTTACCTTAACAGCTTCACCTCTTCTAATTTTAACAATTTTTTGGAATGTATCATAATTTCTAAACGTTTTTGTCAAAGTTGCAAATGCCCATACTTGTGGAATGGCACAAGATCTGAAAGCCGATTTATTTTGAAGCTTATTCATATAAGTTAAGTTTCCAGGAACATGATTAAGAATATTGAGAATGA